CGCTTCACAACCTTTTCAAAAAATTAGAATGAAACTCGTAACAGTTGGAATATTATTGAAAAATAAATTGGTCTTTCTAAAGGATAAAAAGATATACGAATTTCAGTAATCGAAATACTCAACGATATTTCCATCTAACTCATCAAGAAAAAATACCAAGAGAGCTAGACTCACTATTATTTGATTGATAGATTTCAAGGCTTGGATTGTTTTTTTATTTTAAAAATCATTCGCTTTTGTTCTCTGAATGTAGCTTCCGCTCATATAATCAAATCCCCTCTGCTTATAAAAAATATATGAAAATCGGTCAAATGGTCCGATTGATTTCTACTCTTTTTTAATGTTTTAAATACATTTCTTTTGTATAAATTGTCAATTAACGATAAAAAATTTTTTATTATTATTAATTTTAAAAAATGCATGATTAATATTTGCTTCTGACCGAACATTCATAACATCTAGTGTATAATCAAATTAAACACTAGCACAAATCATAGCAGTAAACATAGTTAATTATAATGTACGAGTAAATCTAAGATATTTATATTTTAAATCAATTCATTGAATTATTTGTACTGTTGATCCAGTTAGATTAATTGAATAACCGTTGATTTTTTTTTTGAAAAAATTTTTTGACAATCCAAACTGTTCATTTTGTTGAGTGCTGTTCCGTCGTTCCTTTTTTAATTTCACAACCGAAATAATGTTTCGAATTCCATTTTCTTAAAACGAAAGAAAACAAAAATCTACCATTATCAAAATGAATACAAGCAACGTTTTTTTTCCTTCTCAAAAGTTATAGACTATTTTGTATCAACACTAGGAAATTCAATACTATAGTAATCAATCGAAATCAAATTGAAATAATGTTATCAATTAGTTAAACTGTTTCAATTTGATCAGTAATTGAGTTTTCTACACAACTGTTCTTAATAATATATAACGCTATAGCGACCTTATGTCTAACTGTAACTCATTGATGTAAAAATCGGTGGTTCATCGACTTTATTGATTAGTATTTTAGTTTGATACTGTGTCTTATCAAAAAGAAATAAAGAAAACTAAATAAAAAGAAACAGTCTAGATAGCCATTAATATTAGCCTATTTTTTAGCTGATGGTGGTCGATCAGGTTTTGTTTGTCCAGCATCTTGTTTTGGATCAGGTGGATTAGCCTCTTTTGGTGGTAATGCAGCTCGACCAATCTTTAATGCAGTTGCTACTTGTGTAAAATATGTTCCTTGATGTTCAGCTACTTGTAATTCAAGTTCAGTTGGTTGACGTGCTCCATCAGCACCAGCATAGGTACCTATAAATATTTTCAAATAAAAAAACAAAATCAAACGTAAATCAAATAAACATACCAGCACCGTATGCACTACCACCATGAATTTCACCCATATTTGATTGAAGTGGACATGTATAACCGATTGGTACCTATTTCAAAAAAAAGATAATCAAAAATATTTCATTGCAAAAAAAAAAATAATAAAGATTGATACTTACAATAATCATACCATGATGAATAAAATCTGTTAATGATGTTAATGTTGTTGTTTCTTGTCTACAGACCGAAAAAAAATGTTTTTTTCTTTTAATGATCATTTAAAAAATTAATTCTCGTACCCGCCACCTTGTGTACCTGTTGAAAAGAACACACTAATTGGTTTACCAACCAGTCCACCTTTCATCCATAATCCACCGGTAGAATCCCATAAAGCTTTAACTTGAGCTGGCATACCGCCAAAACGAGTTGGAAAACCCAATAAAATACCATCACAATTTGTTAATGCATCTTCGGCTGTTATAGTATTTTCACCAGCTGCACCAAATGTTATTGTTGGTACACTTTTATCTTTTTCTGGTGCATGCATTTTCGTTAAAACCTCTTGTGATAATGTTTCAGGTATTTGAATTAGACGAACTTCAGCACCAGCTGCTTCAACACCTTTAACAACGGATTTAGCCACTAGGAAGAAAAAAAACCGTCAATGATGAATCTATTTTTAAATGTAATAGATGAACTCTTACTTTTTGCAATATGCCCGTACATTGAATAATAGATAACATTAATTCGTGTTTTGTTAGTTGAAGCAGGTTGTGCTGTCATAGGTCCGGATTTTGCTGCACTAGCAGTTCTAGACATTGTGAAAAATAATGTTTTACAATGGTTCGATGTGTGTTTGCTTTGACAGAAATAACGACAAATGCTAACGTTGCTTAAATAGCTTCCTTTTTTTTTCTTTCTTTCTATACTTTTTATGCATCGTCATGCTCACTGTGCTTGCAAAAATGCCTTCGACTTTCTTTTATGATAGGTAATGTATTCGATCGGCGGTTGAAAGAAAAGAAAAAAAAAGGCCATTTTGTGTATTTCTAGAAATACTTTAAGTGTTGTAAGTTACCTAGCTTTTGTCAACAAAAGCAAAGTCTAAAGAAAATTCTATCTTATTCCTACACTATAACCTCTTTGTCTATTCTGAGAGAACTTACAAGGTACTTCATAATAACTGAGAACATATTGTTAATGATATTTTTCATACTTTTATTTTTGACGTAGAGAGCTGAAATTTTATCACATATATATCTAACCAAAATCCTTTATTTTCTGAAAGTTTCTGTGCTCTAGCTATAACTACTAGTGAAATACATCAACAAGATTGAAATATATACATTTTTGTACTTGTTTTTGTGCATTTTATTTGAACAGTGAAAATAATGCAAAAATCGAGTCGAAAAATTTAAATATTTCAATCTTGCCGATATATTTCACCAGTAGTTATAGGTAGAATGTAGAAACTTTCAAAAATAAAGGTCCTTGGTTAGATATACATATTTGATAAAAATTTCAGTTTTCTACATCAAGAAAAAGTATGAAAAATATCATTAACAATTTATTATCAATTATTATGGGATATCCTTTGTATGTGTGAGAAATGCAATATAAGGATGATATTGCAAATGAATAGTTTGATAATTAAAGCAAATAGATAGTTCATTTGCATAAAGAAACCAATGAAAATATTATCTTTGTGATAAATAAACGAATAATGATTGACAAAGAAG